TGTGGGACTCTTGGCACTGCTAATCAGCTATATTATTGGAAGAGAGCAGGGGGCCGTAACTAGAAGAGTCTTATTTATTACGATGCTATTATGCTGCTATTAGGTTAGGGGATTTTCATTAGCGGTTCTGGAATGAATAATAATGGACTCTCGTCATCTGAGGATATAATATCACCCTAATGTGCCATGTAAACAGCCCTTTAAAATCTGTTGTAGCTGTTCCGACTTTTCCTCACCTGCTTCTCTTCCCTGGGAAATAAAGAGAATGAATTCGCATTTTGCCATCGGCGTTGAAGCTAGTCGCATTGCCTGATATCATGGCAATCAGAGGTCGTAATTAAGCATGACAACAGTAAAAGCTGAGTCATTGCTATGAATATGGGAAATTAATGCGTGTGACTCGAAAACATTTGCAGACGTGAACACTTCTATGGTACTGCAAGAATAATTGATCAAGAATGGAACCAATATAAAGAAAAATGGAGAATGAGAGGAAACAGAGAACCCTGTTAATTAGAAGTAATTGAAACCTAGGAGACCGCAAGCCCAGTGAAATTCCACCCGTGAGAAACTTCATTGCATACAGGACGGACACAAAACGGAAAGTTGGATCCCGAGAGCAGAAGGGTTGAACGGTGCAGCATTGCACGCCGAGAGAGAGGAAAACGTCAAATGAAACTAAGTCACAATAAGTGCCATGAGTGAGCCTTCGCCTGAGTCTTTTTTTTTTTTTAGATAACTGCAGAAATTACACCCTTTCCAGTCAATATCATAATCACCATGAGGATTCAATTGTCACTGAGACTTGAAAAAGAAACGCAAGTAGTTTTTGCTATTGTAAGCTTTGNTTAGATAACTGCAGAAATTTCACCCTTTCCAGTCAATATCATAATCACCATGAGGATTCAATTGTCACTGAGACTTGAAAAAAGAAACGCAAGTAGTTTTTGCTATTGTAAGCTTTGTTGAGCATAACTCCTGGTATGAAGGCATTACCGTCTCAGGCATGAAAGCATAAGGGCACTTTATTCGTGATTTTACAAGATGGAATCTCGATTTGTTCCATTACACGATTCTGTGCCTTTGCGAACCCGTCTCCCTGCAGACTCGCCTCGCAGCCATCGCGTGCCGAGAAGGAACATCCAAGGGAGGACCTCGCGCAATGCCCTTTGGCGCCCATTCGCACGGCGCAGCGCTCCTCCCCCTGCCTCATCCCTTCGCGGGCGATCCTGGCTCGCTTGATGAACGTTCGTTGCAGCTCGAGCATATTCCTATTTCCTGGATGGTTTCGCCGGAAGTTACCACTTCCAGACTAAGTACTTACTGCTTTTAGTGTCAGCTCGGAATGCACGCCGTCTGCAAGCTCCGATTCGGTGTTTGTGGTGCAGGATCCGCTTTTTTTGGTCCTGTTCCGTGCGGAGCCCGGTTTCTTTCAGGACCGTGAGTGGAAGTTCACGTTCACGACTTCATTTAAATATTCTGGTTGGCTTCATTTTTTAATTATTATTATCAGTTTCTCCTAATTCGTATGCACGAGACACTTCAACGATTCAGATTTAGATCCCCAAAGCATGTGACTCATTAAAAAAAAACTTACTTTTGTCATTTTTGAGTCATTTTTATATCCTACCATGTATTAATATATATTAATTATATACCATATATTATTTATCAATCGGAGAGTCAGTGTCGGTTAAGCCCATTTGCAAACCAGAAAGGATCAAGGTCAAAGGTCCATTCAGGTTCTTGTTCCCCTTAGAAGTTTCAGATTTGAGCGGGAAATGGTTCACTTTCCATACGAGTAAATTATTATTTTTTTCTTCAGGAATTCCATTGGCATTGCAGCCAATGGAGCGAATTTTCGCTTCATGCCTGCCAAGGTGAGTCGAAAGTCATGACGCAGTCCTGAGTCACCCTCTATTTTCCGGAGTCCTTAATAGTACTGATTACTAATCAATGGGCACTAGATCTTGAGTGGAGACCGAGTGGAGACCGAGTGGAGACCGAGTGGAGACGGTATTCAAGGGCGATCGATGGGGAATTGGATGGTGACCGAGGAAAAAGCGAGAGCATGTCAGTTTGTTGAACCTCGAATTGGTCGTTCCAGGCCATTCTTCCGAATAGATCCCGTTTATATCGTAGTTTAACTGTCGTCATGACCATGGGTCATGACAACAGTTATTAAAAATATGATGAGGTGCCTCGGGACAGCAAGCAGAAAGAGGGGAAGACAAACGACTGGAAACGGGTCGGTCAGCGAGGACGGAAGCAAAAAATAGAACAGGATTTTCCGCAATCCTTTTCCAGAGAGAAAAGGAAGCCGATGCTGTCGGTAATACTAAGAGCGCACGGCGTTCGCACGATCTCTTGTCGGACGTGCCGACCGACATTTCGTGTCGGACCGTGCCGACCGAGAAAGAGACGGGCGGATTTCTCAAGGCTTTCGCAATCGTTGCGTCGGCCGAGGCCTTGATCCCGATCCTGGCCGGTCTCGGCCGACTCGAGCGTCTTCGCTCTCTCGTCGGCCCTGCTGCGTTTCTTGTGAGTATTTCCCTTCCCATCGTTTTCGATCAGGCAACTGCCTCGAGACGCTTCCTCGCCGCCTTGCCTCGGCACCATCAATTTTATCGATACTTCGTGCCGTTAAATTTAAGTTTCGCGAAAATAGCAGCAGGGAGAGCAGGGATTTTTTTTTTTGTTGCGAGATGAGACAATTAATGGCTTAAAATGGGCGAGGAATCAATTCCTTTTCTTGCACCAGACATCATTGATTCATTGGTTCGCGGTTACTGATTTTTCTGCGGCTCTTCATTCTTCATTCAGCACAGAGGGTAGCTGCACTAACCACCTCGATGAAGCAGTTGACAATAATGCGGACGAAAATGAATAATTTATGATTTTTTCTGCGTGAAACATACCCAGCAAACGCAGTAGTATTGTGGGAACGTTCAGCTGGAGTCAATACGATGTCGTCGACGTTTGAAAGCCCAAGTGAAACGTTGCATGCATGTCTTAGCAGTGTTATGGCACTATGACACCTATTTCATTTTTTTTTCAAATATCTCTGGTAAAATGCCAGTCCGATAGAGGATAATTTTTTTTGTCACGAAACGACCAAGAACCTCTCCAGTGTTACTAACTAACGTTGACGGATTGTTTCTGCTTCGACGCTCAGCACTGCCATCTATCGAGGATTCGAGGAAAATAGTCGTAATATGCAAAACGCAAAGTGCGACGAAATGTCGAATCGCCGACCAGAAGAATCCCCGATAAGGAACGAGTCTGTCCTGGCTGGGGCTTCGTTCGGCCGATCTCTAACTTCGACCCGAACCCCTCACCCCGGCAGCATCAGACATTCCAAAGTGAATGCAAGGACCAACATTGGGCACATTGCATATACTATATTGCTAATATTGGCTAATTTTTGGCTTCCCAATATTGCCAGTCCATCATCGATCCAATATCAGACTGACGCGATGGTCCAAAGTGCCCCAAGTTGCACGCACAAGGGTTTCTTTTGTGGAAATGTTGAAGTTCTCCTCCATGTCATTAGATGGCAGTATGGGTCTCGCTTTTCGTGCAAGACACAAAAGTGCACTTCCCTCTTTCCATGGAATCATCCCTCACAGGAGTGTTTGGTACCTCACCATATGTCTTTCCGAGTCTCATTATAGAAAGCAATATGGATCGGACTTTTAATAATTCATTATCCCCATATTCGAAACAGAATCATGGAGCCCAGGCGATAAATAAGTTCCTATTCCCTATGCATGCTTGAAATCACAATTCGTGAGTGGTGTTTCTCCAACTTGATTGTGAGCGTTTCTTCGTCGTCCTCATATCTGGGAAGACTGTCCCCTGGAAAGTACTGAAATTAGTACATTATTGACCAGGGGTGCTACCGGGGTCCCTGCAAACGATTCCAAGCAAATAACGTTGAATCAACTCTGAATAAACGTTCGGAACGTTGATACAACGTCGGTCCAACGTCCAGCCTTGTTGGCTAGGGTGGGAGAGAGCGTTCCAGCGAGCGACATCACGATGTTGGCCCAACGTTCAGCCAGTGTTGAATTTCTTCTGGGTCTGGGTCGGGGTGCCAGTCTACATCTAAAACTTGCAGTTCCCTTCCATCCCTCGCGGATGACGGATCCATAGTAGACGATAAGAGGGAGTGGCTACTCGTGGGCCGCGTAGACGGGGTTGCTGGGCGTAAGCGTGGAATGCCGCTACTAGCATCCTGCATCTCTTCCCATCTCCTTGCGACGCGGACGCACGAATCGTCGAAAACAGATCTAGTTGTCAGGGTCTTTTCATACAGGCCAATGACAAGTTCAATGAGAGTTAATATTTATTTAGTAGTTGGATGGTCAGGATGCGGCGAAGGTGATTCCAGAGGTATCAGGGCCAGTGGAATGGCTTTCTGTACCTAGTACAGTACTCCAGTTCAGTGCTTCGCGACGAAGTCCCCGATGTGCTGCGATATTTTCGAATTATAGGAGAAGAAAGAACATAATCGCATTTTATTACTCTTAAGCTATGACCGACGAACGTCGGTGGAATCGACTAGTGGGTTGTGAAAATATTACTCACTTTGACGTTGTGAAATTTCATTCGGTAGGCCGCGAGGATCGAGGAAACTCGAAAGTGTGCCGGGAAAAAAACGAAGGTTGAGAAGCTCAAGTTCCTTATTCGAACGAATCCGTGCAGTCACGACCTTCGAAATGAGGAAGCGTCCAATGTCCTCTACTCGATTGCAAGGAAACTTGGAAGCAGCTTTATGCGTGCTCATCCTCCCAAGCCGTCGGAGGCGATTAGGTTGGCATTCCCGTGCTGCTTTGGCGTTGTGGCGGTCGATCCGCGCGTCAGCGAAGGCGTGGGGTCTTTCGTGGTCGTGTGGGTTCTTTCGTGGTCGTGTGGGTTCTTTCGTGGTCGTGTGGGTTCTTTCGTGGTCGTGTGGGTTCTTCTGTTAATCGTGTGGGTTCCGGCTGAATTCCGTGGGCATGGTTGTCCGTATCAGTGGATTCCTTAGGGAGTCTGCCTTCTTTTTTCATTGAAGCATTTAAAGGGCTAAAGGTTGTCGAGGGTGCGGGGTGGGGGCTTTGAGCACCCTCTTCAATTTCTGCGTAATAAAACTTTTTTTTCACTTGGCATTCTTACTTAATATGCATGCTTTACAAGTTTCCAGTTTCTTCCTGTCCCTTAGGTCGGTAGATAAATGCTTCCGACTGAGCAATGTCAGATTTTAGTTGAACCCTTCTCGAAGGTTCCACGAGAGGAAGCAAAGGTCGCACTCGGGAGACAGCGATCTCGACATCAGATTCTCATCCAAAGATGTTTGGAGATGAAGAACTTGCAATTCCTGAGAAGAGTCAGCCTCCGGGTCCACGGCGTCGTGGGAGATCTTTTCTTCAAGTATGGAAACTCCTACTTCCCATTTTCCAAATCGAGCGATCCGAGGGGCGTTATTACACGGATGAAAAAAAAAAAAGCTTTCATTTCCAATCCTTTACTTGACCGATGAGGAATCTCGCTAAGAAAGTCGAATTCAAACTCCCCAGTAATCGCTTTGCAATTTTCCTGACAGCATGGCAAAGATTCCTGCGATACGGACTTTTGCCCTTCGTTTAAATCTTCGCATGCGCGGCGTGTGGAACGACTGGCGTACGTATGAAAGTGTGTCCCCTAATTGAGGTCATTTCAATTAGTAGATTGTGACTGGCAATTTCCAATACTGGGCAATGATTGGCAATTTCTGGTAATGGATTGTGATTGGCAATTTCCATAAATGCATCGAAAAGTGGGGAAATTTGGATAGCTGTTCATATTACGCTTTACTCCGGTTGATAGAGACGCACGAAAAACCTTATGAGTTGAGCAACGTTTTCGTGCTCCTAAACGTGCTTGTGATAAGCGTTTAAAGCGGCAAGATCTACTTTTTGAAATATTTTCTAAACATTTCAAAAAATTTTTTTCAGCATGCACGCTTGTTCAGAAAGTGATTCTGTTGCGTCGGAGGAACTACGCTATATCTATTCGTAAAACTTTTCGCCTAAGTCAAACACCTTAAACTTGTCGATATCTCCCTCACTTGGACAATGCATTGTCTCAAGAGAGCAATTCTTCGAAAAGTTTGGTACAATCATGACGGTTCTCCCACTAGAAAACCGGCAATTTAACAGAATTAACAGATTTCCCCGAATTAAAATAGTCCAGCTGACTATAGCGAAGTAAATAAAGTCACAAGACTCACTGGCCACGACGGAGGAGATTGAACCCGGTGACAGCATCCACAATGTCGACCTCCCGGCAGTAATCTTCCCATCTTCCATCCAGGCTCGGATGCCTATTGGCGCGCAGACCGTGGACGTTCATCCTCGCCTCTGTCATCCTGTCGTCGTGCCTCATTTCGGGGATCGTTCACTGGCGAGAGGAGGAAGGAGGAACCATGCACGCCTGGTTCGCCCCGGAGACTCCTATCTATCAAACTCATCAGTGGATCAATAAAAACTTCCCGAACGGAGTTCGGTACGAAACAATTATCCTTTCCGGGCCCGATGTACTCACTCCGGAATACTTCAAATATGTAAGACCATGTCACTACTCTTTAATTCAGTTCCTAATTTTCAAAATGTGGAATGAAGTCCTGATTCTCTGGGTTTTTTTGCAGATGGGGACCTTGGACAAGAAAATTCGATCCTTAGTATCCAATGGATATGCCTGGGAGGACGTCTGTGCGAGGTACAGTGCGTTATTAGAAGCAAATTTTGTACTATGACTGCTATTAAAAAAAAGTCATACGAATTTTGCAAGTGACTGGGAGAAATGTCGACAAAGCGATGATAGTGAAGTCGAGTGCTTGCCTGTTTGTTGCACGTGCTTGCGACAGATGAATGTTTTTATGACTCACGCAGGCCAGAGGAATTCTTAGAGGGACACAAAAAGGAGGAAAGAAGGCGAAGAGATACCGAAGATCAAAGTCTTTTTTATGCAGAGGACCGACGACTCGACCCAGTCCATGGTATGCATTTTCACCTACAAGTTATAATGCTTCTTTAAAAGCCACGTCGAAAAAGGGAAATAAGAATGAATGGTTTCTTCAAACATTTCTGCCATGTTTGTTCTCTATCTTTATTGTGTGAATTTCGAAATCACTTTCAAAATATCATGATTTTACTCATCACTTTAGGGGAAAATAGCACTCTTGACGATGTAGTGCCGACTACAGAATCAACAAGCAGGCAATCACAAAAGACAGCAACAGAAATGAGCAGTGATTCTACTGGTACCATGGAACCGGAATCGTCACTACTACCAATATTGATATCATCCTTTACAGCAGAGAATCTTGAAACAACTAAAGAAAATGAAACGACGACGACACCTACAACAGTGACAACAACAGCAAGGATCAGTCAAGCCGAAGTTGATCGAGAAGGCGATTCTAAAGAACTCTTGCAGTACGACGATTACAATTACGGCTGGAAGGAGGATTCGGACGCATTGGAGGTATTCGGAGGCGAGGAGGATGAAAGAAATCTGTACGATGATAGATGCATCTATTCCAGCACCCTTCAACTGTGGGCGGAAGATTTCGACTTCAGCACTATCACAACGGCGGAGATCCAGGACAAAGTTACTCGAGCCCTCGACGACGAGTGAGTTTAGGAATGAAATCATTCTCCTTTTGCTAGGGTGTCACTTAAAAGGATCCAATTTGCATATTTTGACATTTTTTAAATATGTGCTCCCTCACTTTGAAAATTGTGGGAGGGCGATGGCAACTTTTCTCCTCTTGAGCCACATTGAAAAATCATATATAGGATATTCTATCATAATTGAAAATTTCGGAATCATACTGCATATTTCAGGTGAAGAATGGATCTGCATAGTTATTCGGGAAGCATATTGTGCTTATGTTCCTGTGGTCTAGCGAAAGGGGGGAGGGGGATGGGACGGGTTGGAGTGCAAGTCTTCGGTGGGGTGGGGCACTTCCTCATGCTTAGCCCTTTGAGGGAAATGAACGTATAGGCACGACCATTCTCAGCAAAGGTTAAAAAAATAACTCGGTGCTCAAAGGGTTAAATAGCTATCAGTCTTTCTGTTTATAATATGACAATGGAAATGAAGCTAATTCCGAAGAAGTCATGGAACTTCATCAAGTCATGGTTCTGACTTCCAGTCAAAAAAAGGGATTTCTGGCCTTTTTTCATTTCTACTGATAGCGCCTCTATCTCACTATCTCGCGCATTCCAAGCCACTGGTATCCTCTCGTGTGCCACAAGTCACAGGCTATTTGAGCACGTAACGATCTCACTGCACCGCCCCCTCCCGCATCCCCTCGTTGATGGAATTTCGTCGATCGGACGGCTTGGCAAGGCACCTGACGAATATCCATCGGAATTCTATCTCGATGCATTTTTCCCTTGAAATTAAGATATACAAGGACGAAAATCGGAAAAAATGCATCCTCAAGATGCATTTCTCCTATTTTCCGAATGCATGTGTGCATAGCAACGAAAAGAATTTCACAATCGAGAGGCACGAGCAGGATTCTGGAATTCATATCATAAACAGGTCACGGAATGACGTGAAGGGGATGTTGTCTGAGGTGGAGAGAGACGAAAGCGGAAGAGTCGTGGGTGCAGCGGCCGTCATGTTCGTCTACATCCTCAAGGACCAAGCGAATGCCACCAACAGAAAGGGTCAACCGGTTAGTGCTTTCAAAATTTTGGATATGTTGCGCTTTCTGTGATGCTCTCATTCGTTAGATTCCATCCTCCTCCCAACCCAGTTGCCATACTCCAATTGCAATCGATCTTGAAAAATGCACGAGGGGCTATTTATAGGGGCCCAGGGGGCTCGAGCCCCTCAAAAATTTGGCAGAAGGGTCTAACAACGAGGAGAGCGAGGACATGAGAAATAAGGAATACTTGTAAGAGTATTGTCTCTGAGGCCACCAATATTTCTCAACTAATCGCCGCCTATGGAAAAATCACTGAGATTTTGCAAAACCACCGTAAAAATTTGACGCCCATAAATTACCGGAACCTAGAACCAAAGGTTTTTGGTTTTGTTGTGACACTGGGGGCATGTTTTCATGGCAAGAGTTAATGTTTCGACAACAATTTCCATTAGAGAATGCGACTGGATAGCGATGAAGAGAAATGTTAGGCCGAATCAGGTGTGCCAGTTTCATGGTGTCCAGGAATTGACTTAGTGTGAGGAATTTCGCATCCGGCCCTGACCTAGGCCTCTGCTACCTTACTTCAGTCTGATGCGCGAGTTCGAGAAGAATATGTTCAGAGTGGCAATACCCCATGGACAAAGCGCAAAAGCTATGTTCAGTCGATTCCGGGACACCCTGTTCCTGATCCTGTTGCTATTTATTTATTCTGATACGGCCATTGTCGCGATGCGCCTCGGTATGTGAAAAGAAGAAATGTCGACATGGAAGTAGTCGATGGCAAAAATTGAGATGGAGACAATGTAGAAATGTAGGAATTTGAAAACCGATTTCAAAGGTATTACCATTCTTCAACCTCAACCTCACCATTAGTTTTTTAATTTAATAATTTTACATTAATGATTTTTTACTTCTTCAGCTGTCTGGGTGTTTCAAACTTTTGATGAGTGACGATCATCCAACTCATCTTGTGACAATAGAGATGCGTCTGTCTCCCATCAGGTCGATCTTATCGCAGAGCCGTGGGAGGAGAAATTCCTCGAATTGGTGTTCCACAATGACCTCCTCAAACCTCCAGGCTTGAAGACTTATGCCAATGCAGAACGCAGGTAGGATGCGCTTCTCGGTTCTTCTCGGGCGAGACATGACTAGCGTCTCAAATGCCAACCTTGAACTGTTTCGAGTAGCTTTCGAGACGGGATCAGAGAAATGAGGGACAGAAACATGATCTATTTCGCTCTTGGTTTCATTCTCATCACCATCTACGTGACCTTAAACATGGGGAAATTCAACCTCCTTGAACAAAGAGTGAGTGCCTGTAGCCGATTATTTCTTCCTTTCCGTATTACATATTTACAATATATGTTTATTTCATGTGTTCCGTATGCAAGCCATCAAATGTCGTCCTCTAAGGGAGGACAGAAGTAGTCACGTAATTTGATTACGTCTGACCTCCCTAATAGGACAAAACATTCACGTAATTTGATTGTTTTGTGCGTCGAAGAAAAAAGTGATGACTTGTATTTACTGAGATTAATATTAATGCAGTCCACAAGTCCGATCGGTAATCATGCACATGACTCAACCGAGGCTGAGAGGGACTGGGAGGGACTGATAGGGACTGAGAGGGATTGGGAATCAGCTTGCCAGAGCAATCGTGTATTTCGACGATTTTCTAGCTATTTCTTTGAGCCAGAAAATCCGGGTTTCCTCTATTACTTCTCGAACGTCCTCATTCCAGGTCTTTTTTTTAAGTTTCCAGGGCATATTTTGCTAAAAATTGCATCGGTCTTTCCAAAGTAACGAAATCTATTTTCGAAGAAAACTCGAGATGCTTGATGCGATGCTTCTCATATTCTGATGGTAAGGAGGTAAAAGTAGTTGTTTAAACTATGAAAAACTTTTGGGGAAAAAATCCATGTAAGATGAAGTACCCTCAAAAAAATTAAGCAAGAGGAAGGAGTAGAGGAATCTTGAAATTTGAATCTGGAAAAAAGTTTGCAAGAGAAGGACAAATCGAGGAAAGTTTCAATGGCATGGACGAGGCGATGTGGAGAGAGATACTTGTTTTCTACCAGGTAATTGTCAAATGCTAAATCTGTACTGCATGGCTCAAGTATCTGAAGATACTTGATAGATAATTTGAAGATAATTTAATTAAATGCTTCATGACACTGAATGGCATAAATTCTTCACATATTGCTAAATATGCCTTGAATGCGCAACAAATCCAAGAGATTCCTCTTATGGAGGCTTTTTGATGGTATCTCACATTAATTAACGGTGTATTTTTTTTGGTGGATTTCAATGCACTTAATGTTTCCTGTTTAGGTCTACCTGGGCCTGGCCGTGGTGCTGTGCATCGGACTGACGATCGTGAGTGCGGCTGGGCTATGCCTCTCCATTGGGTACATCCCGACGGAGATTCACAATCTGATGCCTTTCCTCATCCTCGGGATCGGCATCGACGACTCGCTCGTCATCATCCAGGTGACTCGTTACGACCTCCATGTGACTCGTTACAACCTCCGTGCGTCTGAGTCTCGTCTCTTGCGAGGTTTTCGTCCACTTGTGCTGCTTGAGGTATGAATGAAGGAAAAAGCCATGGAATGCGCCTCGTGATGATTGAAGCGTTGTACGATGACGCCTAAAAATTTTTTACTTAAAAGAATAATTTTATAAATATTTTTCCAGGAAAGGACCCCATCGCAACATTCAACGTCCTGCTCTTCTGTCAAATTTGTTTGAAATCAGTCAGGATTTCGACTTCCAAGGAGAACAAAATCTCACAACTGGCTTTAGAAATAAAAGCAGGGGTTTCAGATGTTTGTCAAGAATTGCCATTCATATACATTGGGGTATTCTGAAATTGACAAAACCCCGTCGTTGATGGATGATGCCGGATTTTATTCTACTCTAATACTAGCACATCTCATACTCTCGCAGGAAACAAGTCATGCGAGAGTATGAAACGTCAAAATTTTATTGACTGATGAGCTTGATTAGAGCGTAGAGGAGGTGTAAGGCTTTTAGCACCATGGCACGCAAAATAACAAAATAATAATTTCGGTGGTATTGGTGTATAATAATAATATGATCTGGTTATTCGAACTTCCAATCCTCACATTAACCGTGCAGCGACATTTTCTTCCAACTATTTCCTTTCTCATTAATGATACCCAAGTAACATGTACCCAGTGAGCCACCTGCTGACATATATCTGCTGGAAGGCGGTTGGTAGCCGCCCGGCTACATCATCAATTATATTGATGAATGCGTCAACGGTGTTGAAGGAGGCGGGGGGGGGGGGGGGGGGGGGGGGGGGGG